AGTCAGTAAGGGGGAACTATAAAGATAGCTCTGAGATGCTGTGTACCCAGTTTCCCAAAAATTATCTGTTTTCCAACCTGAAGCATCCTCGTGGATGAAGAGGCAGATTTTTGACCAGGCTGCAGGAAACCATTCTCTCAGCCATGTCAGTTGACCGCATTCAGATCAGTGGTGCAGCTCACATGCAGTGCGAACCCACGGCTTGCACACACAAACCCCTCTTGGGGATGCTCTCAAAGGTAAGTGTTTTCCTTTTGTCCATCACTGAGTTCGCTGCCCCTGTCACTGCCTCCAGTGGGAACGGAATTGGTCACGTTCGGCTGGGTTTGGGCAGTCTTCACTTGATGCCTCGCAGCCCCGTGGAGCGAACATGTGTACCTTGCTCCCATTTGAGTGCTTCTGCAAAGGCATGCCCTAGTGGCAGCCAGCCAGCCAAGGCAGGCAGCTTCTCACGCGAGGAACACGAACACCATACCAACATTTCATAATTATTATCATACCTCTTATTTTGCACTGTAATGGGATATAGATAGACAGATAGATAGATAGATAGATAGATAGATAGATAGATAGATAGATAGATGGATGTGTGTGTGTGTTCAGCTACCTGTGCATCCTGGGAGACTTCTATGACCTAACAGCAGCTGGAGGTGTATAAACCATAATAAATAAACCATAACTCAATTTCCACATCAATTTTATATCCAGAGAACAAATAGAAACTCCAATTTTTCCACGTTTTAGTATGTTAATGTCAAGCTTTAATAAACAGCATTTATCTCGAGAGCACGAGCAGGGCAAAAACCCGCATGCTTATGTCAAAGCATAACATTAGAAACAACATCCGTCAGAAAATTGAACAGACGTTCATGTGAGTGGTTTATAGTGTCGCGGAGGCTCACAGCAGCCCGTGGCGGCAGCGGGATCGGCTCCCGTGCGCATCCGAAGCCGGGCTCCCGCCGGGCCGCTCGGGGCGGGCGCGGCTGCCCCGGCCCCGCCCGCCCGCGCTGAGGCGCCGAGCGGCGAAAGCAGCGTGGCCGCGGCAGGATGAGCGGCCCCCGGGCCGGCCCTCAGCCGAACGGGTACGCGAGTGCAGGGCCCGCGGGAGGCCTCCGAGCTCTTCCCGCCCGCCATCCCGCGGCTCCCTCTCCCGGCGCCACCGTGCTCCCCTCGCACGGCTGACTAAACTTTTTCCGGGCGGGCTGGGCCGCTGCCTCCCGCGGGGGAAGCCCGGGTGGCGGGGCCCGACGGCCGCGGGTGGTGCGGCCGCGCCGGGCGGCCACCCCAGCCTCTGAGGGAGGGAGGGAGGGAAGCTGGAATCCTCCGGGACGGGAGGGAGGGAAGCTGGAATTCTCCGAGGCAGGACGGAGTGGCAAGGAGAGGAAGGTCCGCGCAGCCGGGGGCTCCCCCGGGCAGCGCCGGCCGTCGAGGATGGGGGAAATCCATCCTCGTGGGGAGGCGTTTCATGGCCTGTTTTACATGGGGTTCGTAATCGCTGGGGTGGGAAAAAGAGCAGGCAGGGTGTCTTGTGTTCATTATTTCCGGAAATGAGGACCGGCGTGAGTAATAGGCAATTAATTAAAGTCAGAAGTAACTCTGTGAAAGTGAAGTACGTTCAGTGGAGGGAAGTGTTCTTATACTGCTTAATTGAGGCTCAGTATTCATACAGTGTTCATCTTCACAGATTTGATGGGTTATCTCCCAAGAAAATTGTGAATATAATTAATTTGCAATGCACTGACTATTGTTTTTCTGTAAGAAAGATTGAGTTTTCTCTTTGAAAACCTTCACTCCCAGTAGGAATATGTAATGACCCTTTCTCAGTACCTATATGAGGGGAAAAATGAGAGGCCTCAGGTAAAGGAAATCCCAGATTCATTTAATCTAGTAATGATCATAAAATAGGAGATTTAAAGGAGAAGCTTGTGTTAAAGGTCATCAAGAACCTGTATTGTGTTTGGCTTTTGGGGAGCAAGAGCTTAGCTGAAGATGTTTACTTATTTTTAATAAACATTTTTTTTTACCTGTGATTTCAATGCCAAGGTATTGATAGTTGGTCTTCAGTAGTACACATGATACTGGGGAATAATACTGCTCGAATAGAGTTATAACATAATGCACATGACATCAAAGATAAGGAAGTAGAGGAAAAACTTTAAAAAAGGGAGTGGTTGATCTGATACCCCCCCCAGTCCTCCAGCTGCACTATATTGTTGTGTAGCTGACTGTCGTAATTGTTGTATGAAAAAAATTGAGATTATAAATTCTGGTTTAGGATTCTCAAAAGAAATTTTCGTTATGCTAGACAATTTTTTTAAGTAGCTGAATGACATTTGTTCCTTTTTCAGATGATGTCACAGCTTACTTGAAGCCTAGATGGATGAAACAGAAGTGAAAAGGGAGGCAGTGTTCTCTAGCTGTAGAATCTTTTTCTCTATTTTCCCTTGAAATAACCTTTACAAATTTTCTGTAGACTACTAATTATTCTAAAATTTAGGTTTTTCTTTTCCCCCATTGTTCTTAGCAGTATTCTTCATAGCTTCCAGTTTCTGTTATTTTTGTTCAGAAGTTCTTACGGGTTGTCCTAAGGATAAGCCTTGATTGCCTGTTTTACAGCTAGCTGTAGTATTTTCTAGAGTAGCATTCATTCATGCAATTCTAGAACTTGCAAATGAGCATAAAGAAGATTATCAGCTGCCCCAAATCCATGAACTAGTTTTCATGTGTGTGCTTGACTGCTAGCCAAGGCCTTGGCTTCTGCTCAGTCAGAAATTAAGTGGTTTATACCCATTTCACACTCTTGAGTTCTTGTGCACTGAGTTGAGGGAATTGTCTTGCCAAACATGGTGATGTTAAGTAGAAGTAATTGAGTGAGGGCTTTGGGGGGTTTTTATGTTCTCTTTGATGTAAGCCTTCTGCTTATTTTTTAGATATGCTCTTCTGCCTGTGAAGTTGGTGCTCTGAGGGACCTCCACTTACGTACAGTTCTGTATTTATTAGAAAAGTAAATACTAGCTTTTGTTATGTTTTGAATAAGTAGAGTTGCTAGGGAATAGTTTAACAAAAGGAGATCTCACGACCTCTTAGTTCAGAGTACTACTCTCTTTCTGGGGCCCTTTTCCCAGAATGTTTTATTCTGTGTAGTTCTGCATTGTGTTTTATCCCTCTCCAAAGACATCACTGTGAATGTCACTTAGCCAGAAGTGATCATTGAAAGTCCAGTTGTGGTTTAGATTTTGTAAATCCCTTTTTTGGAGGTATTTTAAATAATCATATAGCTGAAACATTTTCTTGATGTTTTAGTTAACCTGTCAAAGTTCAGTTTGGCATGGAGTGGTGTGAGGGTATGTCTTTAATCTCTTCTTTCTCTGAGCACTTTTCCTTCTTGGTAGGATATAGCCCCAACCCTTTAGTTACAGTGATTCAAATGAGTCTGGGCATTTTTAGAATCACATACTTGATTTGTGTGTTTGCTTTGACAATTGACAGTTCTGGGCACTATTTGCAATGTTGTCAGAGTGTGAGAGAGGTGTGTGGGTTACATCAAGAGTGTGTGTTCTTCCCTCCTTACTTTGAGATGGTAACCTTAAAGGTGATCCTTAGTCGTTCCAAGAACAAGCTGAAATTGCTAACTTGTAATGTGCCACATACAGACTATTCAAAACTAGCAATTTATCTTTTGTAAATAGCACATTGTAGGTTTCTAAAGTACAGTTTTATCATTGTTTTCACTCAAAGAGTGTAACCTTTTTATGACAAGCTAACTGCAAGCATCTAATACATGGTTTTAGTTACAAAAATAATGATTAAGTAAACACTTGCCTTCTGATGTTTGTCTTCTGAAAGTGCCAGTACTAGTGTTGCTAGGAGATGTCTTGCTGCTTGCAGTTACCTGTGATGTATTTCTCTGCATGGCTGTACATCACAAGAAGGGTATCTTGGTCTTAACCTGTAGTCTTTGGTAAGAGGAGCCCAAGAAGAAAAGTACTGTGCCCCTTGTATTTTGATAGGCTAATCACTGTATTTGAGATGTTGCATTGGTTTGGTTTTCAGGTTGTAGCAATGATAGGTGACGGAGTTTGGGGGAAATTTCTTTCAATTTGATCTTTTGTTTGAAATTTTCAAAGCTTAAATGTATGTGTGGAGGGAGAGATGTCTGCCTTTCTTTTCTTTGAGCTGAAAAGCACAGAAATTCCCCTGTTGTGTCTTACACTGTCTGAGCAGGCTTTCACCCATAAGCAGGCGAGAGAAAATGATGTATCATCCTTTTTTCCTTCCTCCTTCCCCCAAATCTACCCTTCAGGGCAGGGAAAGAAGCAACCTTTTGTGGCACTTCTATATATTATATCTAAAGGAAAAGTTCTTGAACCCACCTCCTGTCAGTTTTCAGAAGGCTTCATTTTCTCTCAAGAGAAAATTAGAGGAAGGGAGCTGTTGGAATGGCTTCAGATCTTTGGTGGTAAATGTTGTAACAAGAGGTAAACTTACAGTGATATGGTCAGAAATTAATGCCTGCAGAAGAAGTTACCAAATAGGAAGCTACTGAGCACTTGTAGGCAGAAGTACAAAATAACTTAGAGGTTGGCTTGGTAGTTATCACAGTCATCATAAAAAAAGATTATGTTGTTTGGGTGAGGAGAATGGCAGTAAATGATATACCCGAACCTTAGAAATATACAAGGTGTTATCTATAAAGGATAAATTGCTCTGTCTTTGAATTGCTTAGTGCTCTGAATATCCCAGCCTTCTTATCTAAAAAAATGAAATTTGCAACCTTGCTTGATGCCTTTCCCTTGAAAGGAAATGTTGCATGTATAAGTTCCTGAAAAGCACTTAAAACTGATGGTTTTACTATCAAAATATTAGTGAATGTGTGGTCTTAGCCACATTGTGATCCTGGTTACTTTAAACTTGTGCACATTAAAATAATGCAATTTGTAGTAACTCTAGGTATGTGGTGTTTGCTGATGGCTGTTTTTTTCTATCAAATATTGTTTCAGCAGTGAAGCATCCTGCAAAAAAAGAGAGGATTATTTGGAATGGCCTGAATATTTTATGGCAGTAGCTTTTCTGTCAGCACAAAGAAGTAAGGATCCAAGCTCTCAGGTAAGAAGGCAACATATAATAATAAGATAACCTAATCTATATTGCCTATCACATCAGATGTACACATAGTGGTTTCAGGAATTTCTTAATAAAAGTTATTTCAGTGTATAGCTATTCAGTTTTAACATAGTCAGCACCTTCTCTTACAGAAATTCTCTTATTGGGCCTGACCTCATATATATAATTCTGTGTACATTTGTAGCTTGGAGTTTTATAAATCATCATTTCATCTGGAAGTTAAAATAACACATGCATTTTGTCTCCTTTTTCCAGTAAATATAGTCACTTTTAGTGGAGGATAAAACTGCTGGAAGTTTTAGGTTGTAATTTTTTAAGACACAACATTTTACAAGTTTCTTTTCCTCACTTGTAAGAGTATTTGTTTGTTATTGGGTTGACTGGAGTTTTCTCCTAGTTTATTCCTCCCTCAGGATCCCCTGTTCCCTATGCTTCACTGTCTTCACATGTTTCATGTGCCTCTGTTCAATATTGATTTCAGGTGATTGATGCAGGTCCTGAAACATGCTATTCTGCAGGATGCAGACTTCCTTTGTGTGAAAAAAATCAGGAAGCAAATCGCAGAAAAACAATCTGTTCACTTCCTTCTGTCCATTTCAGCTCTCTGAAGGTTGTGCACTTGGGGCTAAGGTTTTGTTACCCAAGGGCTGGCTGACAAGCACATTGTGTGAATTAAAATTAGTGCTATGGCAATTTCAACAAATAATATGGGCAGAAAATAAAAAAATGGGACACATCATCATTCTTTAAGAAGAGTCCCTTTGTAGACTTAGGTTGAAACAATAAAGGGTGAAAGTTAAAAGGTTTGGAATTTTAGTGCATGTTTGCAACAAGCCACAAAGGCTTATGAGGCCTGCATAAGCCCACACTTGTATTTCTGTTACATCTTTCGTAACTTTTCTTCAGCTCATGTTGCTTATACTGCTGCTGGGAAAGCTAGTTTGGGGAACTGAACTTCTGTGTTTACTAGGGTTTATTCAGTGCTGTTTCTGCTCCCTGAACTAGGTTATTTCATAAGCAGACAAGGAGCAGTGCTGGCAGGCTGGAATGGGAACAGCATGACCAACGGGGTAGCAGAGTTACCTCTGCCCCACCAGTTAGGTACAATTGTAGCCCTGCTCACTAGATAGTGTGACTTAATATATTAAGTGAAGTTTGTATCTCTTAAATGAAAATCGTAGGACTGACTGTTCATGTCTTATCTTCATTGTTGACATGTTGTTTTGCATGCTGTTGGTACTATATAAATCTGATTTTATTTAGGTTGGTGCCTGCATTGTAAATTCAGAAAACAAGATTGTTGGAATTGGATACAATGGGATGCCTAATGGTTGCAGCGATGATGTACTGCCCTGGACAAGAACAGGAGCAAATAGACTAGACACAAAATATCCTTATGGTAAGGCTTCTTGTGATTGACAGGTTAGACTGGTGATGTCTGTATCTCTGAAAGTTCAGCTGGTAAAGTATCAATCAGTTTTTCTTCCACTCACTTGATATCATTAATGTGCCCATATGTGGTACACCAGGATAAAAATCACAGTCTATTTGAAGGACTGACTTCCTGGTGAAATAGGTTCATAAATATTAGCCATTTTGGACTGGGTAGTGAAAGCCTGTAAATATGAAGCAGCTCATTAGCACACAGCTGCAGTGCATGCAGATAATTGCTGCTTCTGTGTGTTTGTCTCCACAGAAATTACAGTGTGTGTATATGCAAAACAAGTAATGGGGTCTAAAATACGGGTATTACAATTATAAACTCCAGTAGTTGTGGGAAATTTCCATTTCAGGTGTTGATGGCATAGGTTGTATATACTATGAAGAAGCTGAATATTTGACTTGAAGTCTGTGTGCCATGGGTGTACCCTTCTGTGGGTGAGGTGACTTCCATTGTTTATTTCAGCCTCTGATTTGATTCCCACTTATTAATGAACAAAAGGAGTGAAGAGCAAGGATGGTTTCATGGTAAATGTGGTTGAGTGCTGCTTTGGATCTTACCTTTGTCTTTGCAGCAGGCATAGTTTGGCCTTCTGTAAGTGTTATTTAAAGGGCCCTCTGTGAAATTTGGTGGACCTGTCAGCAGGGCTGACTGTTCTGGATCAGGTGTGGTTTGCAGGAACCAAGGAGACTGGGCTGCCGTGTGGCCTGCAGTGTGGGGAAGAGACCTTGGTTAGGACTGGTAAGAGACCATACAGTCCCCGTGCTTCCGTAAGTCCCCCTTGGTCTTTCTGCACCCACTCCAGCTCCTGCTGCACGTCTGTGTGTGACACTAATGCAGCAGAAGCCACAGGCACAGAAAAACCAGGAGCTTCTTCATCCTATGCTGCATCTCAGGCTGTCCTGAGCTCAGGAATGGCAGGGCAGAGAAACACAAAAGAGAGAACCACAGTCCTGGGAAGTTTTCTTTCTCCCTGTGTGGGTGGGGGAGAGTCAGCACAGGAGTTCACCTTTTGCAGAGAAATACTGACTCTTTTCCAGTGAACAGTATTTATCTCTACCTACTATTTCTGTTTCTTACTTGTGACTTTAACAATTGGTGTGATAGAGAAGTTAAACTTGCATGAGTTTTGACATAGCCTGAGCTCACTCAGAGCTCTTTCTAAAAACCATTTTCTGGTTTTCTATAGCATTGAGGTGAAAGATGATATGCAGTGGCTCAGCACATAATTAATCAGTTTGATATTTTTGACTTCTTAAAACCCCAGTTCTTTGTCCTTGTTCACTTCACCAATTTATTATAAAACCTCTAATGGTAACTCTTAAGCTCAAGACCATTTCATATTATTTTTTGTAACAGGTGTATTCCCAATATAGGGCCAAATTTGAAGTCTGCTCTGAACCACTGGTTTTACATATAGTGCTGTGACCATAATGGTACAACTTAGCATGACTGCTCTTTATTTATAGGGTGAGGAAACAAGTGTTAGCCCATTGATTAAATATAAAGCACTGAAAACAGAATATTGATTTTGGTTGAATTTTTATGCTGCTGTCAGGTCTCAGTTCTGAGCTAAAATCATCATGGGTGGTCTCAGGCATCAGAGCATGTTCCAGGCACTCAAATCTGAGCTGACCAGTTTAAACTAAAAGTACTGTGAGGAATCTTTGTACGAGATGATGTGAGACATTTTTTCTTTTTGTTAACTCTGACTGCAGAAGATGTGGAGCATGTGATGTTTAAAAAATGAGCTAACCAGTCACAGCTTGGAGTGCTGAGTTGATTTCCAGGAGTTGGTGTAACTACTACCCTTCTCCCTATTATCTTAGTCTTCACCTCATTAAAAAAATCACAACTTTGTAACACAAAGTGTCTGCTGTGATGAATAAACAACCTATTTTGTAATTCACAGATCATTTAAACTCTAGCAATTTCTTATTAATCTTGATAGCACAGTTGACAGACCAGACAAGTATATATACAGAAAAAATCTTCTGCTTAAAAAAATTCTGGTAGATGCAGAGACACATAGAATTGCTGCTAAAATCTCATTAAACTGTCATTTTTCCTTTCTCCTTTTGCTAATCATCGCAGCATTTGTGTAAATTGAACTTTTTATCCTTGCATTTTCCTGACTGGCTTGTTTAGAGACAGTACAATCTTCTGTGTGCTCCATTAGCTAACCAGGGGAATGGTGGCACTTTCATCACTGCAGTGTAGCTTATTAGATGAAGCTGATGGTAATTGTGCATGTACCACCCCACTAAGTTGGAAAATGTCTTCTGGAGCTACTTCATGTATCTGCAGTGCTGCAGAAAAGGTCTGGGGCAGGATCTGAGTGCTGACCACCTGGTCTTGGGTACTCTTGTGGGTTAGCCATAAACGCTTAGCTCACTTCCCGTGTTTTGCACCACTCTTGCTAGCTTTCTCCAGAACAAAGCTTCAGTGTTGCTCTTCCAGTGGTGTTCCGGAGGGCAGGGTGGAAAAAAAGACTGCAAAGAAAACAAGCATCAGGTATAAGCTTATAATGCAAAGCCTGCTGAGATGGTATGCTTAACCCTCCTCCTTCCCTCAGGCATACTGGCAGATATGCAACACATACTCTGTTTCATGCTCTGAAAATCCCTCTCTGGTGGGCTGCATAAAAGTCTTCTCACTTCTTTATGCACTTTGAACTGAGACTTACAAAATAACTGTATGGTGTCACAGGACTCTGGAGCTTGAGGAAACCAAGGCCTGGGGGCAGTGTGTTGCTGATGAAGCCCTAAGATGAGTACGAGCCAGTCTGTGCCACTTGGCCTCGGGACCAGGGGTCAGTCTCTGGCCCTGTCTGTGTTTAGCAGCATAGACGTAGTAGGGGATTGGACCCAGAGGCAATCTTTTCAGAAGGGTGTTAGGTGATCCTGTAACAAATTTATTGAGCTCAGATTTATTGAGCTGCATTGACCCTACAGCTCTGATCAGATTTACTGTTTCATGGCAAAAAATCTTCCAATTTCCACCCTAAATTTATCTGTGGTTAGTTTTTAGATTCTTGCATGTGCCAGCAATGCTCTTTTAGCTTTTCTTATTCACTGTGGTTAACCCTTCCTCCTTCCCTGTGGACTTACTGATAACAGTTACCTTTTGAACTTCTGTTATGAGGTTAACACGTCCTGTCACTCTTGAATTTTGCTGTATCTTGAAACTTGTGTGTTTGAAATTCACCACTGTCTGGGTTACTTATGTCTGCTGCAATATACTGTATGTAGCTGTCTCAAGCATGTATCTATCTCAAGTGGTCTCAGCTCACTGTTAGGGGCAGTGTTGTACTTGATTAAGAAATCCAGGTCTAACCTGAGCTGCTACTGCAAGAAGGCGCCAAAATGTGGTAGCTACTGTTCACCTTTCCTTAGAGGATGTAAACATTTACAAGGCATTTGGATATTACAGGAACCACGTGTATTGGTACTGTGCATTCCTTATGAGACTCTTGAAGTGGATGGAGGCTCTTCCTTCTAGTTGTGGTGTATATTTGAACAGTATAGCCTTGTTATATCAGAAAGCACAGAGTGTTTTGCAGGGTGCCATTTTTCGCAGCACAAAATCAAGATGTCGTCATTGTGTTGGAAGTGGCTCCAGGCTGCCAGTCAGTAACAGCAGCAGGGATGTGTCTGTGCACATGAGAGAAATGGAAGGCCAGTTTTAATAAGATGTTATTAAAAGCTCTTCCTGAAGCATTGTGTTCAGTGCTATGTGCAGAAGCTATTTAGTAATTAAGCAAAATTCTCTTTTTCAGAGTCAAAAGTGTCCCCTCTGTTTCTGTTACATCAATCTGAGGATTTGTTGATGCTCAGTTTCCTCTCACCAGTCATTTAAAATACTACATTTTTGTCCTATTAATGCAAATCTTCCCACTAAATCTAGTTGCTGTGCTCCTGTTATGCCCTCTGTAATCTAAGAACATCCATTTGACAACCAGTCTCTAATTAAGGGTTTTAAATTAAAATGACTGGCAAATTTAGAAACCTCTGAGCAATACAGAAAATATTGAGTAAATATGCTTACAAATATTTATACAGGTTCAAATATGATAAAATATGTGCTGTGGCAAAAAGTATGCTCTAATTGAACAGTACCTGCTGTGTAAAATGAAACAAACTGTTATCAACATTTCCTTGTGTTAGGATTATGAGCTTTTTGTCAATTTTTCAGAGAAATGAACACTCAACAATATTCAGGCAAATGTTAGTTTTGTAGAAGCTGTTATTTTGACAGCACAGAATTTGATAAGGCACTCTGAGGAAGTGTGATGCTCTCTCTCCAATTGGCAGTGCAAAGATGAGGCTTCGGCTGGGAAGGGGGTCTATAGGAGATGGTCTCCACTTACAGCCACTCTCATCCTGCATGGATCTTTGTCTAATTCTGGTGTCACACATCAAACCTGTAGAAAGTTTGGAGATTTAGAAACAACCAATTCTTCTGCTTGCCTGCTAAGAAACACCTCTGTGTTCTGCTAGGAGCAGAACCAGCTTGGAGCAGGATGGGAGAAACTGAAATAGAGTGGGTTACCTAATGCTGCTCACATTTTGAGAGGGCCTTCTCTGGTCTGCCCCAGCAAGTTTTGTGATGTTCATAAAGGGGCTGGGTGGTTCCCATCTTCACTTCCCAGTTCTTGTGTAAGAAAGCCATGAGGCTGGGGTTATGTTTTTCTTACTGCAGTCTGAGGAGGCTAGGCCTCCCCACAAATCTGCTGCTGCTGCTGTCCTTGCCTCTGTGCCCTGACCACAGCTTCTTCTCCAGCACAGAGGGAGAACAGCAGGAAGGGCTGAGGGCAGTGCCAGCTCAGCATCAGTGTCCTGCCTGCCCTTGATGAAATGACCAACAACTATCCCTATGCTTTCAAAAAGGCTGAAAAAACCAGATGTCATTCTACAAATTCCAGATGTATCAACCACTGCCCCCAGTGGTTGTCACTCCAGACTCCATTCCTTAATGTTTTTATACCGTCTGGGATCCTTGCTGTGTTCAGTAAAGGATAACAAAATTCTTAGTCTGGCTCAATTAGTAACTAATAACACTAAAAAGTCATTCTCACTAGCCCTTCCTCTGGTAGCTTCTTTAAAGTTATGGTCCCTAGCATGCTCCTCATCAAGCATGTAAGCCTTTAAACAGTATTAAACACCTTGACTAGTCTTGTGGTTCTCATGAACTTGCTAGTCAGAACACGTTTAGAATGTGGGAAGAGTACTTCTGACTCTGCAACCCACTGGGAACATGCTCATGTTAAGTGTTCAATCCTGAAAAATTACCATTTATAGGGTAAGCAGGGGTCTCTTATTTACAGGTGAGCTTAAGGATGAGTGCTATCTCAGCTATGCAGCACAAACCAGCATGCAGTGAGAAGAGATAGAAACACTAGCAATTAATACTACCAGTAGTGAAGCAGTCATTCATTGGCTTTTTTCTTTTTTTTTTCCCCTCTCATGAACCTAGTAGCAGGTGGTGGGAATGTCAGAGCACACACTTAACTTCTCATTGCATGGTTATTTCTTCAGCTAATGAAGCCTTTTGAGAATACTTTTCAAGCTACTTCTCCAGAATGGAAACCAGTGTTGTGGACTTGATGCTATGTTGGCTACATGTGAATATTCTTTTTTTAAAAGCCAAAGCTCTTGAGCTCGTCACAGGGTATTGTAAAAATTCTTAGTTTTACTAGTCTGCTTAAAGAAACAGTTTTCAGAGTTCTGAATACTGTGGACCTGTGAAAGGTTATTTTAAATTAGCTTCTTGCTATCTCAGAGACAAAAATTTGTAACTAATAGCAGGAGCTCTTAACAGCTTAGAAAACTTCATAACACCCCAAATATAAACTAGTTAGTCATTAACAAGAGGGATTTTGGACTTCTGGATTTGTTTTCTATCTCTCAAAAAAGCTGGGGAGATCTATAAGAAAAATCTGGGGGCAATAGGCCTATCTTACCTGGTCAATGCCTGTTTGTCAGAGAGAGGTGAATATGAGTAAGAGGGAATTAAGAGTGATGGGACAAAGCCTGAAAATACTTGTCTGATGCCAGCACCTTCTTAAGAACCATCTGGCATAATAACCCTTTATAAGTAGCACATGTCTAGGGAGATGTATAAAACAAAGACATATGTAATGATAGTTTCCCAGAATATGCCTTCAAATCACAGTAACTGAGACAGAACAGTTTGGTATTTAATAGCCCAGTAGACTAAAAAAGTAATACTGGATGGAAAATTATGACTTCTGGAGCCAGTGCAAGTTTCTGGTCCTGTACCAGCTTTTGCAATAAGTTCAGTAAGAAATACTTGGTTAGGTACATGAAAAATGTACCTAGTTTTCGATTTGAAATGAAAACTTGCTGGGTTTGTTGTAGACTTAAGTACTTTTTGTCTTGGAATGATTTGTCTGTTTCTTATTGCTGTCTCTGCATCTTCTGTCCACATGGGATAGTTGTGATTTTTCTTAACTTCAGATTGTGTGAAGATGGTCAAGAGGCAAAATTTATGGTTTTCCCTTGCTCCAGCTGATTATCTTCTATAAGTTATTCTTGGCCTGATCTTGTTTTTGCTTAGGAAGAGGTTTGTTGTTGAAAGTTTGTAGAAGACTGCCAAAAGAATCTTTTTCCTCTCATTAGTGCAGGAAGGAAACTTGTTGCAGTACTAATAATGAAACTTGTCTGGTTTTACAGTTGAAGATTTTTGAGTTTTAATGAAGGAAAAATATTTACTAAAGGCATTAGTTTTGTTTCTTTTTTAGTTTTGGGAGCCTTTGAAAACATTCTTCTTTCTGGATGCCTTCCATATTTTAAACTGCTGCCTAGAACACAAATATATTGTTCAAAGAAACTTAGAAGTGATGTTTCTGTCCTGTTGACATAACCCCTATTTCCAGTTGTGGAAATTTTATCACTCTCTTACCCAATCCTCCACAGCCGCAGGAAAATAATTCTCTGACTATTTATTGTAAAGGCTTTATAAGATTGGTGCAACTTAGTAATGTACTTGGTGTTCAACATATTTTCTGGATTTTCTAAATGTGTAGGTTCATATAACTGCATCTCTCATACACTTAATGGCATGTATTTAAAATACAGTGTGACCCATTAACAGTTGCAGTAGAAACAGTAAAAATAATGAAAGTAGCCTTAATGTGATGGTTCTTGGTGGTTGTTTGTTTTTTTTTTTTCTTTTTCAATTTCCTGGTTTTTGTGTTGATTTCTGGCTTTACTGGTTATAAGAAGGTATGTGGACAGCATAACATGGGTGTGGTAGAAGCCAATACTGAGCTTTCTTTTGCAAGTGTTTGGTCCTTTGTGACTTGCTTGCATGGGAAAGTTTGTGTGCTGTAAGTTAGGCTGTAAATTTGTAGTGCATTAGCTGTTGTATACAAAATTCCTTGTAGACATTTAGCACATATGGAAAATGTTTCCATTCAGCAGTGATTCCTGCGTGTTGAAGGTACTGCACTCCGTTATTTGTGTGGTGAGATCATTCACACAGAGGTCAACATACAGCACCAAGTTTGCTATGAAGTTGTGCTGTGAAACTTGGTCTGTTTTAATTTTCACATGGGCACAAGGGAGAAGAAAATGACTTTAAAGAAAATATGTTCTTCAAAACAAGCAGTGGAAAACCTGTGTCTGCACATGCAGGTCTCTAAATGACCTCAAACCCACACCACACTTCAGCATCTGTTTAAGAAGTCAGGGCAGCAGGCAGTTTCTTAGTAGGTAGGTATATAAATTATGCAACTTGCTGTTATTCCTGGGAGTAAACAGGAAGTTCTTGCAGAACTAATGTTTTTTTCAAAGCTTGATTGTGAATGACACAGAAACTGCGCTCTTCTCAGCTGTGTTGGTAACACATTAGATAATGTGCCCTTTAAAATAATCTGAGATAATCTGAGCATGTTTATTCTCATTATAAACACTGGTGCTGTCTGTCCTGAAAGAGCTATTGTGTTATGGTGGAGTAAGGCAGGATGCTCCATTGCTACTTGGCCTATCTCAAACCCATGGAGAAGTACAGGACTTTGTTTTCCTGATTATGAAGTCTGGCACCTTTTAATGAGCAGTAAAATCACTCTTAATATTGAAGCTGGATGTTTTTATGGCCGAGTGTGTCTTGTGTATTCTGGGGGTGGGAGAATCCTGCAGCAGTGCTGAGCCATTCTGAGGCCCAGAGGACAGAGCTGCTCGGTTTTACTTGGCGATTCTGCTGCCTTTAAGAGCGCACAGCGCGCTCCTACAGCCGCAAGACTGTTCCTATCTGTGCATGTAAACACATAAATGAGCTGTTTTATACTGGCAGTTAGATACTCCAGAGAGTTGTGAAGCTGTGAGATATTGCTTCACTAAGGGTGGTTGCAATGGCTTGGCCCACAGCCTACGGCTTTGTTGCCTGCAATAGGTGTTAGCAAATGGCAGTGCTAATGCACTTAATGATATCATTACTAATCAGCAGCCTGGTCAGAACAATTGACCTTCATTGATCTTGGTATTTCTGCTTTTATTTCTTTCTCTGCCCTTTATTATAAGCTGTGCAAGCTATTGGCTTTGAAAATAATGCGAGAAGTTATATTGTAACACTTTAATTTTAGTTTGACCAATTTATTTTAATGATCAGTATTATGAATTGTTTCTTCCCTTGTTTAATCAGTGTGCCATGCTGAATTGAATGCCATCATGAACAAAAACTCAGCTGATGTGAAAGGCTGCAGCATGTATGTTGCCTTATTTCCATGTAATGAATGTGCAAAGCTCATCATCCAGGCAGGTAAGCAGTAGTGCCAGCTTGCTTTTTCAGGGTTGCAGTGCTGCCTGCTCATTGGCATCTTCTAATAGATGTATTTGATGTTAAATTGCTGATGTTAGATCTAAATTAATTGCACTGTCAACCTCATAAGATGCTACTTGTGGGGGTTTTTTGCATCTGAATGGTGCCAAATTTTTCCAGTGCTAATTGCATCTACTGTGATTCTAAACGTGCTTCTAATTTAGGTTTGTAACTTCTTAGACCAGGAGCTGCCAAAGAACAACACAGGCTTTGCATATAATTACTGTCAATTTTACTGTGCTCTGGCACATTGAATAGGGTAGGGCAGAAAGAAATAAACTTCTGCATGACAAAAGGTCTGTTGGGAGTATATACATGAAATTTTAATTTGAATGTGATGCATAGTAGATATTCGAAGATTTTAAAATATCTTTGCTCATAAATGTCATCAGATTTCTATGATCCTACTTTAATTATGTCTTTCATTACAATTATTATAAATCTCTGCCACTGCAGCAAGTGTGCTGGCCTAAATGTGTCTCCTTTTTTGAGATTAGGTAGTATCTGCAGCAGGCTTCAGTTCTGTAAAAATCTCTGCTTAAAGTAGCATGTATTTTGCTCACTGAGTAAAGTCATGCAGTCCCAGCATGGGTTGTTGTTCTGGGGAGTGTCTCTTACTACTAATGGCCACAGGAATATAGGAAGAAAGCAGCAAACAGAAGGCTTCTTTATTTTGGTTCAGTGTGGTCTGAAATCAAGAGGGGTGAATAGGGAAATATGATGGTATTCTGCATTTGTGCTTCATACAATTCTCTTACAGAATCAAAATCAAATTGTCTTCAAGGTAGATTGGCTGCTTGTTCTCAGTGTAGTCACTCATCCTTTTCCTTATGCACTTAGATCAGCACTAAATTGCAATGTATTGATATTCATGCTGTCTGGCAAACACAGGAAGATGTTGATCAGCTATGAAACGCTTGTGAATTCTCTTTTGAAGCCTTTATATTTCTTCCCTTTCTAAGGGGTTTAGGCAAAGTTGATTCAGCAATTTTACACAGCATACATTTGCGAGTAGAGGTGTACCGAGGAGTTGTAGACCATGTGGATGAATGCTGCCACTTCTGATTTTGTGCACCAGACATTACTATTTTTTTTCAGTGTAATTCTAACATTTTTTCTATGTGACTTCTTTAGGCATAAAGGAAGTTATTTTCATGTCCGACAAGTATCATGACACTACAGAAATGACAGCTGCACGGCGGATGTTTGATTTGGCAGGTATTATATATAGGTGAGAGAATTAACTTTGTTTTTTTCTCTGGAATGGAAAAAAAGGGGGGATGTGAAACAGACCAACTTTAGGGCAAATTGTTTTCTTCTTTCAGTCATGTAGCATTTTATTCCTCTGTAGTGTTTGTAGATGGCTTGATCTGCGGAAGGACTGCTGCACCATTCTTTTGTCTTGTGTATGGTGAGAGTTCAAATTTGAAACGTTTGGATGAGAAAATGGTCCATCACTCATTTTGTTCCTGGAATGGGAGTGAAATCGCCAGGGGGTGGTTGGTTGTTACATTGTACCCAGGAGAGTCTTCCTTGACCCTGCTTTGGGCAGGAGGTAGGGCTAAATTATCTCCTGAAATCATGTGTAACCTGGATTATCCTGTGATCATATGAGTTGGACTGAAACAAACAACTGATTTTTTGTTGTTGTTGGTTTTGTGGATTGCTCCATCCTTATTGAAACTTCAGTATCTTTTTATTACCGTCAGTTTGGGAAGGTGTCAAACAAGCCGCCCATAATTAATTTTTGGTACTTATAGCTGTTCATCTTCTTTGGTCAGCTTTTAGGTGAGAAAAGGATAAAACTTGGAATATTTGGCTTGAGGTAATGATAACCTGAAAAACGTTTCAAGAGTGGGGTTTTTAAAGACACTGACAGAAATACCTAAAGACAATCTGTTCAGCAGCGAGTTTGATGGGAGTAGCATGCTGTGGGTGAGGCTAATTATGTAGTCAGGGAGGCTTTGCAACTCTAAAAACTTTTACAGTATTAATATAAAGACTTTGAAAAATTTGCAAACATAACAATTCTGACAGATAAAATTTTAGGATGAAAGATACCTACTGGGCTGGGAAACATCCATGGAAAAACACAGCAGTACTTGAAATTCAGTTGTAGTCCTTCAGTGTATTTCCTGTCTACTAAGACTATTTGACTAAAAAGCATAAATCATTCTCTTGCAAGTCAAATCTTGTAACTTCTCCAGGGTGAGAAATGCTTCTTGCATTTCAGATTGCTATTCAGAACAAAGCATTCAGAGTTTCTGTGGTCAGCAGCATGTGCTTTCCTGCGTTGACTGTTACTTATCCTTGTATCGATTGCTGAGGATGTAGGTGGTACTTAATGAATCTCTTGAAGTGAACTGCAGAGCTTAATTAGGCACTAAATCCACACTATTTGCATAATCTTTTGTTTACTGGTAGACTGGAAAATATATGCTCAGTCCCTGTATACCTTCCTTGCTAATTGCTGCAGCAGATGCTGTAATGATAATAAAAGGAAACATTTTGCAGCAGTATTAATTTTAGAGTTCTAAAGTTACAATTTTTAAATTATTCCCTCTTAACTAGTTTGGGTTTTACCCAGTATGGCATAATGTGATCTATTCCCCTTCTACAAAAAATATTCTATTATGCTGACACAAAGCTTGAAAGTGTTTTTCTAAAACTTGGCAGGAAAAAATTGATCAAAATATCAATATTATCAAAGTGTATTCCAAATATCTTTTTTATATGCATACATATACAGAAGATTTAATTTTTTTTTCTGGATACCAGTATCTCTATCTAGATCTTTAAATAGATATTAAAAATATTTGAAATATTAATATATATGAACAAAAAATCACAAACCTGGTAACATTATGCCACCACCTGCAGCTAAGTTGGTAAAAGTCCTTTGACTCCTGGGTAATTTGTAAATTCCAATAGCTGAAGAATGTACAGAGTAACCCACCCCATGTGTCTTTTTGTCTTAGTCTTTCTTGTCCAGGTTTATCTCAGTGTGGTGCACTATAATTGGCTCCCATAGAGAAGAAAACTACAAGAATCCAAGGATGTGTTTTTTGGGATTGTTTTATTCCTTCAGAAATTTAGCTGGAACTAAAGCAAGCAAAATGTTTTAACTACTCACTAATATCTGATAATTTTTCTCTTTTTTTAGGGAATTCAAGCCAAAGTGTAACAAGATCATCATCGACTTTGATTCAATTAACAGCAGACCAAGTCAAAAGCTTCTGTGAATTATGTCTCATTAAGTCTGTAGGAGAGTGTGATTATCCTTTTTAGAAAAGCTTCTAATGCCTTTCATCTTGAACATGCAACTTTTTAATGGTTTCTGTAGCTAAAGCAGACTTCTAAGAAATCCAAGGCATAAGGTGTCCCGCTCACTTCATCTTGTCATGTGGAATCTAAATCTACTTAAAATTTTTTTATGCCTTTATCAAAACTGCTTAAAAAATAGAGACACCTAGATGAAACAATATAAGTAAAGAAAACTGTTCTGATTCTTCCTGTATTCATCACCACATGCTCTGGTGGGCTGTCAGCACAGATTTAGCCTCAGTTTAACAGCAGTACTTGTAACCAGTAGTACGGTGGAATATGCTAATAGATGTTGATCTCTCTGTTGGATATGTGGATCTTCACAGTTGATCCTAATAAAGAACCAAAAATGTTATCCGTGCAAATGCTAATCTTCCAACTAGCATAACACTAATATTTAAAAGGTTTTACAGCTTTAGGAATGTGTGCCATTCTGCTTGTTACCCAACAAATGAAATGCTGACTTTTCTTTTAATTGCTATCTGACATTGCCGTACTTGGGGAGGGTTGAGAGAGAAAGCTGTTCTGAGAATTGTCCCTGCCTGAGTGAGCTTTACAGGTGATTTCAAATCCTTGTTTTCCCCAAGACTCCAGAACTGAAGGGGCTTGAGGGAGTAAATAATTTGGTGCTTTACCTCTGGGACTTTTACACTGAGTTTGTTTTCATGTGTAAAAGAAAATAATTTTATTGGTCTAAGCTGTTCCTAGATAATTCAACATAGCTCAGTCTTAAACTCCACCTGTAAAGTAACCAAATCGTTTTTTGTCCTTTGAGAGAAATTGGAGATATTCAACCCACATCCGTATCTGTGCCAAAAGATGTAATTGCGGAGTTAGCTTGTTTCCCAGTGCTGACATAGTGCCTCTGTTTTCATAAATGTTGCCTAAAATAATATCCTTTTTAATTTTATCTTGAGATCTGGGAATAGATTTCAGTTCATTTTCTCTAATTTGATTTTTAAAAATTAAGTATGCCTAATGGCTTTGTTTAGATAACATTGGTGGTTGGTTGTTTTGTTGTTTTTTGTTTTGGTTGTTGGTTTTTTTTAATGTGGTTATACTTCAATGAGCTTTTATTTTCTCTACAAAAGCTTTGTTTCATATTTTGGGACATTATGTAATTTGGCTTCATACCAGTATTATTAAAGTCTTATTAAAATCCACTACACTGAAGTAGACCCATTATTATAATATTAAGTCATGCACTTGGCTCCAGAGCACTGCTGTTTTTGCAATCATATGGAAAGCATATTTTGTGCATTTGTGATATTACATAAAATATAATGTTCATGAACCATTTGACTACTAAAGGGATCACTGTAATGTATTGTGTGTCCATTTATAAGATAATTTCTGAGTTTCTTTTTCCTACAGCTGTTTTCCACGTCAAAATTGGTCTGTGGCTTAGTGCCAGAAGAAGAAATTTGCACATATATGTGGCGGGGGAACATGAAACCTGAAAAATTACTTTAATAAAATATCACTAAGCCAGTTTATGCACATCTTTTTCTTTGGTCTGAATTAGTAAGTAAAAGCGTTTTGACTTATACATGTCTGACAATAGGACAGAGGGGAGAGAAGAAGCAGAATTTTGGGGTTTTGCTGCAAAATTGCTATTCTTTTCATATATAATTGCTAATCTAAGGTCAGATGTAAAATGTATATGCATTGTGATTAGAGTTAAGTGTTTCATGTTAGGCCTTGGATACTGTGAATATGTAACGTGCATAAAAACTTGAAAGTTTTTTGAACCAATGTCCAGATGTTTTTAGGGAAATAGTTTTTCTGTTATAAACTTTCTTTCCCCCCCAGGACTTCCCTGGTTGTGTAACAAAAAAGCAGTACTGGAGAAAAGGATAGGATTTTAGAGTTTTCCTGATCAGGTCTTGATCTGATAGAGGTGCACATACAAGATATCAGAGTAATGTTCAGTTGACTCAGGCCAGTAAGTAGACTCTAATTTCCAGGGCAACTTTGTGGAAAGGGAAAAAGCATACCTACAATTCTTGACACACTGTGTGCTTAGTTTGAGGGTAATGTTTTAGAGAAAATCTTTTTTGATCCTTACTTTGTGCATGTCCAGAACTCTGTACACATCTCAGGGGTTTTTTTTGTTTTGTTTTAATGGTTCAGGAGGTAGTGCTTTGACTTCCAAATAAAGAGTACTTGCTAGAGGAAACAAGGAAAACAGCTAAATGTAATAACATGTATTTCTGCTGCTGAAGCTCAAGTTTGAGATGAATAGAACCATTTGGAGTGGAAGGATTTCTAGAGGATATTTAGTCTTACCTCTTGCTGAAGCACCATTGACTTACAGGTCAGATCCAGTTGCTCAGGCCTTGTCCAGGTGGGTGTCTGCAAGAGCAGAGATTCTGCAGCCTTTGTGGTCAGCCATTCCAATTCTTGATGCACACTGATTCTGCTCTTCCTTGACACAGGCACTGGAACAGGATCCACCCAGTGGATGCAGGGATCCAGGTGGATCCTGTTCTTTCAAGCTGCCTTCCATCCACTGGGCACTCAGCCAGCTGGGAGTTGTTCTGTTCCCGGTGCAGGACTTCATCAAGTTGCCATCAGCTCATTCCTCCAGCCACTACTCCAGCTGGACTTTGTACCACTGGCCCTTTGAGCCTGATGGTTCACCCACGTGAAACTGCACGGGTCCTTCTGTGGCTGCCAGCAGCGCTCCCACAGCAGCCACCCCCCAGCCTGCTGGGAAAGGGAGCTGACTGCAGGCTCAGGCCTGCAGGGGTGGCTTGAAAAACCTGCTACAGCAGCCTGAAAGGAGACTCTGGGGAACACTTTGTTAGTTACCTTGGTACCATTAACTAGGAGAAGTCACATTCAATGAAATGCTGAGATCCTATCCTGTTCAATATAATGCTGTCTTAACTGTTAAATCTAAATCCTGCCAACATCTAGATTTTCCTTACAAATATTAGACCATTCCCTTGTCAGAAAACCCAAGGAACTGGCAGTCTTATTTACATAAATTTCATTTAAGGGTGGTTTCGCAGCCTGGCATACTGAGTAGAAGCACAATCTGCATCTTTGGAGCTTTCATCGGTGACTGCATTTTATTGCTTTGTATATTAGGAATATTTTCACAAAGATTACAAAAAGTGTGCTGTGACCAGTGCAGTTGCTCTGATTTCTCAAATAGCCTGTGATAACTCTGGCAATAGCTCAGCCTAAAAGCTCCATGTATGTAACTGCAGAAGCTGCAGTAGTTCATCAGCTAACAAAATGAATCTTGCAGGGATTTTAAGCTGTTGACAACAAGCAAAATGAATTAAAATTCTGGCTTGGCACCCTTTTCTCTCTGAAGGTGGGTCATAGGGGTCTTCATGCAAGTGCACGAGGTGGGGCTAGCACAGAGGCCTCACCTGATGCCCTGAAGCAGTACTTGCAGGGGGCTGGGGCTAATTCTCACCTGGTGCCTGGGATAAGTTTATGAGCTGCAGCTGGGGGCTGTGGGGAGCAGGTGGGCTTTAGGGAGCCAGGAAATGGCTGTGGAGCAGCATGAGACTCATAAAGGAGCAGGCAGCGGTGCTCTAGTTATCCAGCAGGGTTGGTTTAGGTTGCTGCTGCACTGGGAGCACTTAAGAACGAAGTACAGAAGTGACCACAGCTGAAAGGCCATTAATTTGCAGCTGTTTCTTCTCAGTTGCAGGTAAGAAAAGGATTTATATAATAGAGGGCTGAAACTGTGAGGTACCAACTCTTTCTTTCTTCAGTGGTGTTGGCTCAAAGGGTTTGTACCACTATAGCTTCTTTTAGCAGATTTATCTCCCTTCCCTTTAAAATCCAGGTTTATCTAATGTAAAACTCTCTCTGATTTGAGAACAGAGGGGTAAAACTTGTTTCAAGTGCTTAGTCTGCATCTACTACATGGTTTTAGCCTTGGGAACTACTGTAAGGCACAGTGCAAAAGCATGGACAGAGCTGACTAAAAAACCCTACATGAAACCTAAATCCATGTTCCCTTCCTCTTACACTTAATGCTTCTGTTTACTTTCTTTGGTTGGAAGGAAATGGGGGGGACGGGGTAGGAAAGGGGAAAAAATGTAAAAATTCATGAACTGTCTCTGTCTCATTCAAAGAAACCACTGCCTTCCTGGCATTTACAGCTCAGTTAAACTGCAGTGAAAGCTTTAATGAAGCATGTGGTTAATCAAGCTATGGAAGATTGCAGCATTTGATTTTTATTTTTTTTTTTTTTCTGGAGTAAGAGCTTAATTGCAGCAGCTTGCTTCCTAACACTGCTCATCCTCAGGAGCTGTGTTATGTCGTCTGAATGCTTCAAAGACATTGATGCGGCTGAGCTTTGAGCCCTTCCCTGCTGAGGAAGTGTCCCAGGAGGAAGGAGCCTTGGGCAGCTCCATGCCTGGAAGGCGCCACCAGATACTTGTGGTGGGAGGGCTGCTGCCCTTCACTCTGAATAACCAACGAGAAGGGCACCAGCCTGCTCTGAACTGTGCAGCAGAAGGGCAGCACCTAAAAGGGAGATAGATGTGTGTGACAGGGTACCTGAATTGCCATCATTTGTTTTGTGCATCTACCTGTTGGGTGGTTTTTTTTTCTTTTTAGGCGGAATTAAGACGTAGGGGTTGGAATGGCAAACTACTACTTCTGTCTTGTATGCTTCAGATTTGTGCTGGAAAATCTTGCCTCTGCCAGGGCACTCCCCCTGCTAAATATGAGGCAAAAGACAGAAAATCAAACTTGATGTGCTGGATTTTTAGTTGTTGACATTATATACTGTGCTCTTAAAAAAACCCTGCCCTGAGGAGAGTGAGCATAATGTGCTCCAGCAGCAAAACATGCATAATAAAGAAGAAATTGCTAACGGTTTCTTGGGATTTCTTACTCAGTTCTGTACCTCCCCACTCCTTTATTGTTTCAAGCTAATGTGTACGTCAATTCTGCCATGCAAATATTCAGGAAGGCTCCCTGCACCAAAGGAGAGGAAAGGAAATATATTCAAATCACTGCTTCAGAGGCACAAGTTGTGTCTTGGTTTGCCAGAGACCTGGGTACATTCTTTAGCTGGCTGTGTAACTCTGCTGTTGCTGCTTGTTGACTCGTGCCCAAGTCTTTTATGTGGCATATCTTGTTGTGAGAGGGTTTCTTTCCTCCACTGTTCAATCAACTCTGACTGCTAATCAGAATGTTGCTGGGTAAACAGGACTGATTAAAATTAAAATTTTAATTTTGTGTTGTAAACAATATGGCACTTTAATATTATTCCTGTTAATAAAGATACTACTAATAATGCATCTAGTGTTTTTGTGGTATGGTTTTCATATTTATTTCTTGAAGCACTGACAAGTTTTGGTTAAGAGCTTCACATTTAGATGCCAGGATTTGTTTTCCATGTATTCTCTTTTTTCAAGGGTGACTGACTGTACTTAATTATATTGGATATGGTTTGTTTTGTTTTTAATCTTATGGAGAAGAAATGTTTCTTTGACAACTGGAGACATCACACTGTAACAAACAGCCATATCATGCATGCTTTAGTCTATGTGAATCTACTTGTTATTGTAACATTGCTTATCTAGCTTCCAGAGGAGAAAAACCAGGCGCTAATTAGGTGTGGAAACACTGTAAAAGAGTGTTGGTGGGTTCTTGGAGACTTGCCCTGAGGGAAGGACAGGGAGACTAGAGAGTCCTAGACAGCACAATAAATTTGTGATGGGCTGTTGAAGTCGGGATGAAAAGAAGCGTGTGGTTGCACAAGAGGTCTGTTACCTGTCAGACTCTGCAAGGCCAAAGGAAACTTGTCTGAAAACAGGGTAGGGGGAAAGAACCTCCCTGTGATTTGGTGAAAAACCAATGCAGTAACACGGAGGGTGGAGAGTCTGTCAGACAACTATGTTCTAAACTGAAGGAGTTTTCAAAGTGGCTAGGGAATATATATGCCACAAATCCCTGTTTCTCTTGTGCTAACTGGAGTAATTTTCTTCTGATTTGGACAGGTTTCCTAAGTGCTCCTAGCCTGGTCACCAAGAGATCACTGCAGAGCATGTGTGTGGTTGGTTTGTGGGAGTACACTGAAATTTCTGTGTAGGCTGGATGCAGCTGGACTACAGCCTCTGTTCCACGGAGTCCCACATACAGTGACTTCAGGGACTGCAAAGGAGGGTGACTGTATCCCACT